ATATCACACTGCCCAGATAAGCAATGATTTTCAATCTTAAAAATACAGAAGCCCGATCGCAAAAGTGAAAGGAACGCCGACAAATAATGACTGTCTGCAACCGAGTCCTTTACATCTGTGAGTGATTTTCGCCGTGCTCCTTTGTGTACAGTCAGCAAGAGCGGTTATTGGGGATTTGCATGTAAGTATAGCGGATGGAAGCTCGCTGCTCATGAAAAGACGCATTCATGAGGCTGCCAATGTGAGAGTCAGCCAAACACCCTCACAGGCTTAATTAAAGCTCCATATCCAATCAAGGGAGCAGATACGGTCGTGTTTATATATCTGAATCAACTATTTGAGCTGTAGTGTTCCCGGGAAGAAAATAGGGGTTCGGGAGTTCCTTATCTCACCAGCAATGATGTGGCCAACGGTAGCGCTCACCAGCAAAAGCAAATTCTTCACTCCCACACCCTTCGGTAGCACAAACACCCAGAAGAGAAGAATGCTGCATGCGAGACCACCAGCTGCGGCAAGGGCTGCTAGGTTAACGCCCAAACTACTTTTAATATCCAGATCTTACATGCACATGCTTACGGTGGACATATTCAAACTTTCAGTTTCAACTGGTCATGGCTGTTTATCAGGACTTCTGCCATGCAGTTTCATTGGTCCTGGCGAAAGGGGGGGAGACAAATGAGCGCTCACCAACAAAATGAATGACCCATTTGTATTCCACTTCAGGCACGTCATGATACAATATCAAGTTAAAATGAAAATTCTGTTTTCAATTATTACCGTAGTTATCTCAAGACCATCAGCCGACTTTTTGACATCATTGCAATTTATGTTGATGGATGACCTTCATTTACTTTATTGTTGCGTGTTGAATTAAAAAAAAAAAACATTCACTGACAATGCGTTTTCGTATCTCCAATGGTTGGTTCAACTGTACCCCCCCCACACACACACACACATACGCACACACAGACACCCATTCCTCGAAGACCATTCTTGCCTCTTCAGTTTGTTTTGAAGAGAAGTACAGACCCTCAACACCATCAACACAATGCAAGAACCGATCGATCACTTTTACTTTTTTAAAAATAAAATGCTGGCAGCGGTGGACAATTTTTTTTTTTTTTGTGCAGATCACTGAAAATGAAAGCATATTTCTGCTGTCTTTCGTGATCTAGTCCTACTTCAATCACCCCAACAGCTAAACCCCGTGACGCTATTAGGGCTTTGGAGATGTAAAGGTGACTTGCTTACTGTGTTCACTTGCGCACAGCAGTCTGTTGGGTCGAATTAAATTACCCTCTTCAAAAAATAGTGAAGCATATTATTTATACGTTGACTTGAAACATTGCCTACAACGCTCAAGTCGGAGCGATCAATGACCACCAGAATTCCAATATGAAGAATGGCTACAGCTTTTCCCCAAAGCCGAAATAGATTTCCTGACGATAGAGACGGAACACCTGACAAGGTGAGCCATAAAAACATTTTGCCATGCCGCTCGCTAACACCTGAGATTGAACAGATGCACGGGAGTGTTTACACGGCGTCTCTTTTCAAACGCATTCGGATTCCTCGTGATTGATTACGCTGATGCTGCCCAAAGGCAGCCGGTCCGACTTGGCAACTAGAAATTATAAGAGCCAGTCAACCACTGTGTTCATACCTTCCACAGTCTTACTTATTATGATTCATTGAAAAGCCTCGAATGTGGTCGTTTCAGCTGCGGAGCATCACTTTTCAGTGACCAGCTGCCAGTTGAAGTGCCTTTCAACCTACTGCTGTGTGTGTAGTGTATCGAAGGGGTTGGAGGTCCAGATGGTAACCAAACAATTTCCTGCATGCCACCTATTGACAACTGCACTGTGGAATAATGTGAAAAGCTCTCTCTGCACAGGAGGAGGAGGAGGAGCCAATTGTCATATTCATGTGAAAATATCTGGTCGCCACCCAAGCAGCCGAAATGGCAAACGTGACAGAGAGCATCTGAATCCAACTCACACAAAAGTCACTCGCGACGATGCCGAAAAAAAATGCACGCTTTTATTCAAATCCTTGAAATAAGTCAAGGGCGGGTAATGTGATACGGCACTTCTGGAAGCGACCCTCGGTTAGCAGATGGCCAGCTAACCAAGAATGTCTGGAAGCTGCAAATACCCTGAGCACGAGGGAGCAGAGAAAAGGGCAGACTGAGGAGACTCCGGGGTTGGCATATGTCAGGACAAGAATCTTTTCAAAGCTTGTAAAAGGAGACATAATCCATAAATCTTTGGGCCTCCCCAAATAACCTGGATGGACACGTTCTTGACTGCATATAAGGGAACAGCATATCAAGGCGATGCTACAAAAGGCACTTTTTTTTTGGCCTGTTTGAGATTTTTTTTTTTTTTTTTTTTTTTTTTTAGTGCAGGCAACTTCGGATTCCAATGAGCCCTTCATCTTTCAAAGGCTATTGCATGCAAACGACACAGATCTCAAATGGATAGCAGGTCAGACTCATTATGAGCGATGAAATGCAAAGCACAGCGAGTTTTTCAATATTGTCAGAACAGAGCACGGCAAAATGTCACCTTTTTGTTTGTTTGTTTGTTTGTTTGTTTGTAACGCCGTGTTGCAGCTGTCTCCATGGAGCCCACAAACTGCGCGGAGGGCACGAAAGCCAAGGGTTCGCCATTAAATGCTGAAACCAAACTGCCCCCCCACCACATCCATCAGTGCATCTGGCTCCTATAAAAGCACTCATCTCAGTGAGAAGCTCACAGGCATAGATTACAAGCTTCACCTGCAGCCACTTCCGGACAGCTGGGACAACAGCATCCCATCAGAGACACAGTTTCAATTAACGACCAAGTTGGGAAGGAGTGGTGGGTCAAAACATTGCTTTGGCTATACATCTCATTATCTCTCTCACTATAGCTTCAATACACCTACGAATAATGGGTGATGGTGGGTGTTATGTGAATGATGTTCTCCTGCGTTTACTGTCAAGACTGTCTTACTATGGCTGAAAATATGTTTAAACGCGTTGCCATTTTGTTTTGCCTCTCATACTAGTTTGAAAGAATAAACCACGGGCTGACAAACTCTGATAAGGAACAAAGTATTTTGATATGAGCGTAAAGTGTCTCATTTTGCTGAATACGTTTTGGTGATTACATTTAACATTTAACCATTGAATTGTTCAGAGTACAACGTCAAATTTGAAGGCAATACTTCAGTAGCATCTTGAGCTTTGTTGAAATGCTTTTATACGATCCGTTGTCAAAGAGAACGTCAATTCCTTTGTGAAAAGTATGCTTAGGTGCTGTGGTCTGCCTCACGAGAGGTTCCGGGTCTCTGTGGAGTTTGCAGATTCGGTCTGTGCTTGTGAGAGTTTTCAACAACTTCCTCCCACTGTTCCACATTCCAAAACCGTGCATTTTTGACAAAGTGAAAAATCATAGTCATCAAACTCAAGGCTCGCAGGAGAGATTCGGCCAACCATGTCATTTATATTCTGACAGTGGCCCCGCGCAAGCTTGATACAAGTGTTCCTTGTGTTCTGTTCAAAATTAGCCAGCAATGTGGTCATAGCCAAAAGCAGAGTCTATTATGTCATAGGTTGGGGCAATTATTGGAGATCTCACACAGAACATATGAGGTGAGGGTCAAGACGTGTAATTGCCTTGCTCTCTAGTCACATGCAGAGTTGGTAAACAAACAGAGCAGATCAGCTTCTGTCAAGTTGACATCATGGCCATATGTTGTTTTTTTTTTACTAACAAATGAAATGTCCAGCATTATTTGAACAGCCACTTCCAGGCATTTCAAAAGGAGCCAAAACAATAACAGATACTTTGTCATTCAGTGTTCCAACTGATATTGGTGGATTTGGCGATATCATTCATTTCACATAAATAATTAAACTATAAATTTTTCAATTTTCTTAAAAAAAAAAGATTTAAAGGTGTTTAATTTTAAATATGAGGCACATCCATAGGCAAAAAAAAAAAGTTACAGCAGTTGTTTGCATCCCCCCCCCCCCCATTGCTCGACACAATGTGGACTTAACCGTGACCCTAAAACCAAACCTTGGCACACTACAAGATTAAAAAAAAAAAACAAGCTTGGCACCCCTGCTATAAATTGTCCGTGGCTGTAGGTGTTAATGTGATTATGAATGGTTGTTTCTCTGTACGTCCTGGCATTGGCTGGCGACCAGTCCACAGTGTAGCCCCCTTCTTGCCCGAATTCAGCTGGAACAGGCACCAGCTCACCAGCTGCCCAAACAAATACAATGAGCATCAAACTGACGAATGGATAATAAAAATGTGTTGTTTACTGAGAAGAGAGTTTCTTCAAGTTTTCTGTCCTCAACTGCATGGATAGTGATGGAGTTGCTTTTCCAATATTTACGGTATATTGATTGGAATTTACATCAGTGGCCTTTGCCTCTGACTGTGATTCACACCTCTGACGGAAGAGGCAAAATTAAACAAGTGGTCACATGATTCATCCAAGGGGCATACTTTCCAAATTGCAAAGGTGAAAAGACTCAAACTTCACGTGCTGTACTATAACAACCAGCAAGTCAAATGTGATTTCTGGGAGTGCAACTGAGGCGTCAGCGGAGCAGTTGTGCACATGTGCGGCGGACACTGTTAGCAGGTGAAACAAGGCAGAAGGCATTTGGCGTTTGGTGCACGCGCCTGCTGCATTCCTTTGTCAGCTGACAAAAGAGGGAGTCCATCCAGGGATGTGTGAGCACAAGATGGCCAAGCAAACGAGACTGCGAAAGATGCAATAACAATAATGCCATTTGTTTTGAGGGGCCGGTGGGAAAACGCATACTCAAAAATAAATAAATAAAACTTAATCAAACATGTCAAACAGGTGTTGCAGATGACGGGAAAGAACTACCCAAACACACAAACAATGCAATCTCGATTTCAAGAGTTGGGAAATTGGTAAATACCGTTTCTACAAGTTACTGTTTTCTTTAAGAACTCCTTCGTTTAACTTACCTATAATTTGGCCCAAGGTGGTTTTCCAGGATGTTGAGACGGCTCACTTCTCACTTCGAGACACAACCAGCGAAGTAGATCCACCTAAACGCACGTTGCGGCTCTCTTTTGCGCCTCAGTTTTATTGTTTTTATTCTGGTTATTATTATGACTATTTTGAGATAGTACGACGGGTCACTGGCTAAAATGTGGGAAAACAACTCCAGTGTCCGAAAAGTGTGTAAGATTACGTGCGTTTAATCAGAAACCAAAGCTAAGTCTTTTCGTCAAGCAGGTTGCAATGTTCTGAGCGTCTACTGTCCAGCCTCAGTGAGGTGCATGAAGCTGCATAAAGGCAGACGTAGTATGATGGGACGGGACAGGAAACTACATTTCTTGCTACCAAAATAAAACTAACGACGACAGAGGCCACGTATTTTAGCAGAAACGGTGTTGTTGGCTGTTGCACACAATGTGACGCCGCATTAATAAAATACTACACCGTATCAAACGCAAACACATATTCCAATAGCAGAGACAGAAAAGAGACTTGACAAATGAGTTTTTCGTTTTAATGCGTATCTTGAATATCTTGAATCAGACTGAAGAACAACTTCGTTTAATCATATTAAGATTAAAACTACACCACAATGTTAATCTTCTATGTACCACTTGTCCTTATATTGTCATGAGAAAGCCTATCCTAGATTAAAATTAAAATATATACTACATTGTATTGCATATTATATTGTATTTTGTGTTGTCACTGATTAATGGTTCTCTCGCTTGATTCCCGTAAGAGGCAGATGAGTTGAACTCCCCACTCAGTAATTAATGGTGTGAATGTGAGTGGGAAGGTTTTTCTGGCTTTATAGGTGCCCTGTAATTCCCTGGTGACCATTCCAGGGTGTTGGCGCCCAGTCAGATGGGATAGCTTCCAGCTTCATGTGCCCATGAAAAGGATAAGTCATGTGGAAATTAATATTTTTTTTGTCAAAGCTTTGAATTATATTTTGTTTTATTATATACATACAATTGTGAATGTCGCCTTATTTTTACAGTGAGTATTTGTATTTTTCCCTGGGATTTAAAGCTATATTTTTAATATATTTCCATTTATCCTAAATGTATACTACTTTTGAATTTTCCATTACACACTACTACACAAAACAGGGTGGAATCACGAATAACATGTTGTAAAAAGAAAAGAAAAAAAAAGAAATCAACTGGTCAATAGGCAGTGCCCACCACTGAAGTCTTATATTTTGAAAGGGTCAATGGGATCTGTTTATGTTTTGACTTTTGTCTGAATGGCTACTTTATCCTCATCATGGGCTTCTAGGTTCATATAAAAATGAAAAACACAAAAAACAAAATCAATTAAAAAAAGTAAAGTGATTATTTTTTCCCCCACATAATATGGTAAACATTTGTACACGTAGTATTGTTTGGTGACTAATAAATCGTTAGAGTAAAAAGGTTTTACTTATTCAGGGTAATTAGCATGAAATGGAAGCCATTAACCCCCGGCCAGTAAATTCCCACTTTCTAAGGATTCTAAACTGATTTAAAAAAGAAGAGCTTCTTGTATGCTGTCATTATCAAGATTGCTTATGGGCTCCCTCTGCTGGTCAGAAATTTTAATTTTCGTTGAGTGAAAATGAACTACAGTACTAGTTCATTGTTTTGTTTTGTTTTTTTTTCCTTGCCACTGAAAATCCATAGTTGTCCGTCACAGTATTGTCACTAAGATTGCTTGTGGTCTCCCTGTGCCGGCCAGAAATGTTAATTTTCGTTGAGTGAAAATAAAATACTCTTTCATTGTTTTGTTTTGTTTTGTTTTGTTTTGTTTTGTTTTGTTTTATCCAGGTCTTTTGACTTCTTCCAACATTCCAAAGACATGAATTTTAGGTTCAATGAAGCATCTAAACTGAACGAGACGTGAACGAGAGTTTGGGTGGTTTTCTATATATGACCTACGATCAGTGTGTACCTCACCTCTTTCCCAAAGTCAGCTGAGACAGGCTCCACCTCAGGATGTCCACCTGTGACTTGAATTTTTATTTTATGATCATGCACATTTTCACTCATGCATAACAGCAAGTTTATGATTAATTTTTATGCTCGCAAGATAATAAATGTCCACTATACTGTGCACCGTTGTAAATACGACTTTTACTAGCTTTATGGACCCTTGGGCAGACACATTAACCCAGAGGCAACCGAAAAAAAGCACACTAAAAGAGGGGATTCAGTCATGAAATGATAGTGTTCTATCTGTGGACCGTGAATGAGTGAATCTGACACTTAGAGAGATCTTTAGAAAACAAGATACACTTTTTAGATGCCTGACCCTCTTCACATGCACCCTACAGTGGTCACTGGTGGTGTAGTGGTGCAGGTAACATGAGTTCAATTCATTTGCATTTACATTTGCTGTATTTCATTCAGCTGGAGTAAAGCCATTACTTATGCTCATCACAATCACATCCTTCTTGATAAACAATAAAAAATGATAATCCCTCCATCTATCCTCTTTCTCACCCACTAACCTCTGTCCCTCTCGAGCGCTACATGTCAACACAACTGGTCAAGGTGCATGGCCACCCCTCCCCCAACACTGAGTCTTGAATCTGTTCAAGGTGTCTTCTGATTTTTCTATTGCCTTCATTGACTGGTGCTTGCTCATATGTAGGGTTCAGTTGGTTTTGTGTGAGCAATGAGGTTTTGGACCTGTGGCTTTGTGGGATCGATGTCAGTGATTTCGAAACCACTGTAGGAAATGATCGAATTTCACTCAGGAAGTCAAGTTGAATTTCTTTCGCAATAATAATAAGTGTGGGTGGATTTATTTATACACAGACGTGGGCATTTTGTTAGTCTGACGGGTGGTCCGTCAGTCTGTCACTGTTCCTGACAGCCAATCAGCGTCGACAACATAATTTCCAGGTTGCACATTGGCGTCGCACAGGCCGGCTGACACACAGCCAAATAAAGAAAAATTTAAATTAAAACAATCGACATAAAAACAATACGGGACACGTGATAGAGTATAGACAAATTCAAAGTTATCATGTTGAAATGTTTCATTTTGTTGCATGCTTATTTCACCTCGAACGCGTGTGTTCATACAGCTTTAGAGCACCCAGAAAAAAGGGCCAACTTGATAGTGCAGACAGGAAGGTTCAACTTCGGGTGGGCAGCACGATAAGATGTCCTTGAGTTTGTTACAGTATCTCAATTCATGCGAAATCTACCCATTGAAAGTAACAAGGTATCCATTGTTTGTACCAAGAGATGTTTTGGCCTCCAGGTGCCCACTGAGGGGCGTATCGGTGGGCTGGGCTGAGAGGCGTGACATGTAAATGAAGAAGGGAGTGTTTTTCTGATATATCACTTGTAATTTGCATTTACGATCAATAAAAAGCCGGCAGAGGCTGCAGAGATCAGGTGTCAGTTGAGAAGCGCACCCGGAGTGGCTTCATAGAAAACTGCGTCTCCTGCCGGCAGCAAAGACAATCTCTTCCTGAGTCTGTTCAACTGTCTGAGCGAACATCTCTGACAACACGTCATCGGGGTATGTGGGACTCAAAGGAAGACAACATTTTTTTGATTTCTTACTGTATGTGGCTGCGTGTGACATAGTATCGTTAAGTCCGTACTGGACACCGATTGGTTGTTACTGAGAACTCAGACGGACTGGGCAGACCTGAAATACTGACGGCAGCTCACTGACGGACTCACCGGACTGACGATGCCCACCTTTGTGCGCACACACACACACACACACACACACACACACACACACACACACACACACACACACACACACACACACACACACACACACACACACACACACACCCCTGCCTACACACACGCCTACACCCACGCAGAGGCGTGGCTTCGCCCCTCCAACCTTTACTACTCTCTCACCTGTCTGTTTACACTCACACACTGTGTACAAATCTGACTCGTTGAAGTGGACGTTTGAGTCATGGACTCTCCACCGAGGGACTCTCCGGTTCGACCGGGCTTCCAGAGAGTGGAGATCCAGAAGACGACGTGGGAGGTCCCGCAAAGATACATAGCTCTGCGGGCAGTTGGATCTGGTGCCTACGGCACAGTTTGGTAAGTGAAACCGTGATATGTGAGAGCACATCATCCATATCTCAGTAGTATCTACATTTACTTTGGCATCGTATTCTGTGCTCAATGTTGATACATATCCTGCTGATGAATGTTAGGTAGCACTTGATAAAAATTTCCAATGTTGCTAGCTTAAAGAATGTAGAATTAACCTTTAAGGATGCAGTATGTGACAGGGATGTTCTCTTTGTCATTCAAGTAGATTCAATGTGATATCCGTCATTAAGCATGCCCATCAATTGCTCATCCTGTTGATAAATGGACAACAGACATCATAAAAGCCTCTTTAAGGCAGAGTATTGTCACTGCAGGGTCTGCGTATGCATTCCAGTCATTGGACTGTGACACCCGCAGCTATCTGTCTTCTGCAAGCAGAAGCACTATTGTGCGCCTCGGGCAAGTCAGCAAGTCAGTGCAGGTCCACTGATATGTAAGAATCTCGTCCACCGGTAGAGAGGCACTTAGCATTGGCAGACAGGGATAGCATATCCATCCATCCATCCATCCATCTCTCATCCATCCATCCATTTTCTGATCCGTTTATCCTCACAAGGCTCGCGGGACATGCCGGAGCCTATCCCAGCCGTCTTCAGGCAATAAGCGGGGGATACCCTGAACCGATTGCCAGCCAATTGCAGGGCACACATAGACAAAAAAACACTCTAGGGACAATTTGGAGTCTAAATTGTCCCTAGTGTGGTTGTGAATCGTTGTTCTGAAGATTACTTTTAAGTGAAAATACTATATTGTCCATCATTATGATTGCGAGTCGGTATGCTTGTTTGTCAATATGTGCCCTGCGATGTGTGGTTGTGAATCATTGTTAATGAAACACTCAAAATGTTAGTGTGTTCCATTAACCTGCCACGCATGTTTTGGAATGTAGGAGCAAACGGGAGTACCCAGAGAAAAGCCACACAGGCCAGAGAGAACATGCAAACTCCGTACAGTATTTTTCTCCAAATGTCTTTTTATGCATGCACAGCAGTCAAGTGGTTAATACATGAGCCTCACGGGTCTGAAGATTACTTTTAAGTGAAAATACTAAATTGTCCATCATTATGAATGCAAGTCGGTATGCTTGTTTGTCAATATGTGCCCTGCGATTAGCTTAGCTGGTGACTAGTCCTGCATGTGTCCAGCCTCTCGGCCAAAATCATCTGGAACAGGATCCAGCTGACCTGTGACCACAATCAGCGTTTTGAATGGGTGGATGTCTGAATCAGCACTCAACGACATCCTGTCTGAATATGATTGTGACATCGCTTTCCAATGACAGTTCTCATCGATGAAGTGGTTGTGAGAGTCTCTAATGTCCTGTCTGTAATGCGTTTGTGCTAGCTCTGCCATAGACCAGAGGACCAAGGAGAAGGTGGCCATTAAGAAGCTGTATCGTCCTTTCCAGTCTCTCATCCACACCAAAAGAGCTTACCGGGAACTCAGACTGCTTCGCCACATTGAGCATGAAAATGTATGTTGTTTTTGGGTTTTTTTTTCAGTTCAGACATTTCGTTAACCGCGTATTCTTGACTGCAAGTACAGCCCTCAAGGCTGGATAATGAGATTGAGGTTTTGATGCATGCAAAACAAAAACTGCAGTTTTCCTCATCTGTCTCATCCAAGCCAAGTCAATTTTGAGGACAAGCAAACTTTGTTGACCATTCAACAAAAGCCTTTAATCTCATCTGCGCTGTGGGCAAAGCTGAGAGTGCTGTTTGTTGTGAGAACCCGCATGGTCCAAGACGACAGGCGTGTATTCTTGACTGCAAGTACAGCCCTGAAGGCTGGATAATGAGATTGAGGTTTTGATGCATGCAAAACAAAAACTGCAGTTTTCCTCATCTGTCTCATCCAAGCCAAGTCAATTTTGAGGACAAGCAAACTTTGTTGACCATTCAACAAAAGCCTTTAATCTCATCTGCGCTGTGGGCAAAGCTGAGAGTGCTGTTTGTTGTGAGAACCCGCATGGTCCAAGACGACAGGCGTTCTTGTGTACAGTTTTGCGGCTAATCCGGGAAGGAGGCTAGAAACGAGAAGCGACTGATCCATAATTCTCCCTGGATGTCATTGTTTTCAAACAAAAAAAAAAAACCGCGAATGATCCATAATTCTCCCTGGATGTCATTATTTTCAAACAAAAAAAAACAAAAACTTGCTTTGAGCATGACCTCATTTCTCATTGAGCAAATATCTGAAGGGATGTACTAAAAGAACTCTGCGTATTCTCTGAGTACCCAAAAATAGAAAAAACAATATATGGAGTCCTATTTTTGTAGACAGACTAAAAACTGGCCCATCTTCATTTTCCTCCTGGGGCAAGTCTAGTTTACCGTCTTTGGGAATTTGGCAGACGGCGCTCCCCCTCGCCAGGCGCCCCTGCAGACTGAGGATGTTTTCTATTACACGCCCCCAGTGCACCTGACGGTTTGGTAGCAGAAAGTACAGTCCATTTAAGACCACGTGAAACCAGGTCTAAGTTGTGGCACAGGAAGTGAGAGTCCATTTTGGTGGATTCGAGCCAGACGCAGGCAGTGGAATTTTGTGCTCCGCAGATATGTGTGGTGAATGTCATTATATTTCATTCATCTGCGTGCATCGACAGGGGCGGGCTACTTGGTGGTCCTGGCCACTCCTTTTGACTCTCTGGCCACCGCCCTGGCCAGCCCCACAGACAGAAGAAAATTTTGACATATTAAATTTTTCTGCCATTTTCACATTAGAAATGCCCTTTGACTGTTGTTTTTGGTTTTTTTTTTCGAAATGTTGAGCTCATTGAAAACATCCCTCTTCTTTGTTTATACCCTGTGGTATAGCTGACCCCTCTGCCCCACTGATAAAAAGGAAACTAATGAAGTCATAGTCACCGCATTGCTGATTTCAAACACACCTTTCACGCTATGCTGCTATTAGTGCTACTCGAGAGCATTCACACCCACATTCTCCACTGTCAGTGAGTGGGAACCGATGCTACGGTGCCAGCACACAAGTCAGGCGAGTGTACCACTACACCATGAGCGACCTTTTGTGGTTTCTTATATCTCGTTCAATATGTACTGTTCAGAAAGCGATGATGTAATGGTACGCTCGCCAGATTTGGCCACAAACAGTCGAAGTTCTGTTTCCTCTTTGGAACAGTGCCAATGTGGGTGTGAATGTGTCCTGTGATTGACAGGCTACCAGTCTTTGACGTAGTGTGCCATTTACAGGACGTCAGATTCCCGCATCTGGGAACAGGGTAAGCAGGTGGAGAAAATGGATGAAGAGATTATTTGAATAAGAATTGAAAGGTAAAACGCACATTAAGATGGTTTTGTTGTGGAGGTAGTGTTTTAAGGATGTGTGTAAGAAGACTCTATATCTAAGCAAAATGTCACTCTTTCCCCATGACCCCTCTGCCCCACTGATAAAAAGGAAACTAATGAAGTCATAGTCACCGCATTGCTGATTTCAAACACACCTTTCACGCTATGCTGCTATTAGTGCTACTCGAGACGAACAGGCATTCACACCCACATTCTCCACTGTCAGTGAGTGGGAACCGATGCTACGGTGCCAGCACACAAGTCAGGCGAGTGTACCACTACACCATGAGCAACTTTCATCATCTTTTGTGGTTTCTTATATCTCATTCAATATGCACTGTTCAGATAGCGATGATGTAATGGTATGCTCGCCAGATTTGGCCACAAACAGTTGAAGTTCTGTTTCCTCTTTGGAACAGTGCCAATGTGGGTGTGAATGTGTCCTGTGATTGACAGGCTACCAGTCTTTGACGTAGTGTGCCATTTACAGGACGTCAGATTCCCCCATCTGGGAACAGGGTAAGCAGGTGGAGAAAATGGATGAAGAGATTATTTGAATAAGAATTGAAAGGTAAAACGCACATTAAGATGGTTTTGTTGTGGAGGTAGTGTTTTAAGGATGTGTGTAAGAAGACTCTATATCTAAGCAAAATGTCACTCTTTCCCCACGTTGGCACCAAAGGTCATATCCCTCCTCGATGTATTCACACCTGATTCCTCCGTGGAGAAATTCCAAACCTTGTGAGTGAGCGAGCGACCACATTTTTCTCTTTGTTGTTGCAGCTTGTCTAGATCCTCCTGTGTGCGCTGATGTATGCATGGAAGGTTCAAGCATGAGTGTTGGGAGCAAGTGCATGCATGTTTGTTTTGGCTGCCTATGGTTCTGTTGCTTGTCAATGATAGTTATTTTCACCACTGCTTTTTTTTTTTCTTTTCCTTTGACCGACATCTAGTTATATGGTGATGCCATTTGTAGCGCAGGATCTGGGCCACATCATGAAGAAGCGGAGATTAACTGTTCGCATTATCACGTACCTGTTCTACCAGCTTCTAAGAGGACTTAAGGTACCGTAAGTGTGTGATTCTGTGTAGCACTGCCACCCTCCGGCATTGGCACAATATTTTTTGGGAGCTTCACCGAGCTCTTTCGATCATCTTGCTGGCTGATCAGAAAGACTGAAAAATATATCAGCATGGAGTACATGTGTGATAAAACATTTAGATTGGCAACATAAAGAAAAACAGCAATGTCGCTTGTGTAAGGGCATGCAGCAAGTGTGAAAGTGAAAAGCTGCCGCATCCCTAGGGACCCAAAAAAAAAAAAAAAAAAAAAAAAAACCTTTGTGCTAAGGTTGTTTTGTACAGAGCCCTTAAAGTGACACGGAAGGGGGAAAAAAATGCAGTTTTTTTCTTCCATGTCACCTTAGGGGCTCCGTAGTTTTGTGTTCAGAAGTGGCTGCATTTTTCGTCATAATATTTCTTTAGTCACAGTATTTCTTGAATTTAACCAAAGTACCCAAAAAAGGCTACTTCTTTTCCAAACGTTAAACTGGGAATGATTTTTATCTTGTCTCATCTTAAAATGCGAATGGGTTTTCACGTAAGTGTGAAACAATAAGTTTTTCAAAGATGGACATTTGACACACAGCACATACTTGGGTTAAAATGGATGTCAAGAAATTACAGAATCATTTTTTAAAATACATTTTTCTCCCACTTGTGTTTTCCTCTTTTCAGTACATTCATTCTGCTGGCATCATCCACCGGGTTAGTATGGGGGAAAAAAATTGTTGTGGGATTTGCTTTTTTTTTTTTTTTAAAGAGTGATTCTGTTTTTAGGACCTAAAACCTGGTAACCTGGCTGTGAACGAGAACTGTGAACTAAAGGTAAACTTGCGTAAACTGAATAAAAACTGATTCACAAAGGGGTTTATTTGTTTTTTGTTTTTTTTCGCCTTTCATGATAAATGTTGAATTTTATCTTACCAGATCTTGGACTTCGGCCTTGCGAGGCACACAGAGACTGAGATGACTGGTTATGTGGTGACCCGCTGGTACCGAGCTCCAGAGGTCATATTCAACTGGATGCACTACAGTCAGACAGGTCGGCTTTGGAAACAAATATTTCTCAAATGGGTCACTTTCAATTTCAGTCCAGAATAATATTTGCCTCCTCTTGTCACAGTGGATGTGTGGTCAGCTGCATGTATCCTGGCCGAGATGATCACCGGCCAGGTTCTCTTTCCTGGACATGACAGTATCCTCAAACCTGCTGGCTCCGTTCCAAAAGACACATACTTGGGACTAATCATGGTGGCGCAGCTATTACCAAGAGTTGCTCTCGATTTAACCCTTTCAGAGACAGCGACCACTACAGTAGACATGCTATCATGTTATCAGGTTACAGGTTATCATTATTGGTGCATGAAACGGTTAATATCCAATACAGTCATGTCATGAAAATGGGGGCAGTTGCTTAAAAATACATTTTAATTGTAGTCTGCTGCTGTGTCCCTATCTGTATATGTTAATTATACTTGGAGCACGTTGAGATTTCTTTAACCAGCTTGCTCAGGTATTGATCAACTGAAAAAGATCCTCCGCCTGACTGGAACTCCTGACCATGCCTTGGTGCAGAAGATGCAGAGTAAAGATGTGAGTTTTATGTATGATGTGCTTTCCAGAGTTCATATTTGGCACATGTTAGTGGACAACTTGAAATAATGGAACGCGAGCACTTGTTTTCCAGGCACAGTCATATGTTCAAGGTCTCCCTGCGCAAAAGAAGAAAAACTTCAAAGACGTGTTTCCGTCCATGGAGGAAAAAGGTGGGTTGATCTTCTTTCACTCCAGACTATGGACAGATGGGGAGACATATAAAAATGTTTTATACATTTTGACTTTTTGCACCAAAGGTCAGTGGAAAGCAGCTTTTTGAAAAACATGAGCCAAGTGACTTTTTTTTCCCAAAATGTGTGTGGATAGGAAAAGATCAGGGTTATTACGTTATTCATCCGTATTACGTGGCATGACGTGTGTGTACCCTGCCTTTTGCACCAAATCCACTAGGATAGGCTCTCGTTCATCAGTGACCCTAATGAGGACAAGTGACGGATGTATGGATGGAGTTTTATTCTCTTAACTTTATATACAAGTGTGACCTATCACTTTGATGTATCCATCCATCCATCCTTCCATTTTCTGATCCGCTTTATCCTCACAAGGGTCGCGGGGAATGCTGGAGTCTATCCCAGCCGTCTTTGGGCAGTAGACGGGGGACACCCTGAACCGGTTGCCAGCCAATCGTAGGGCACACAGAGACGAACAACCATCCGCGCTCACACTCACACCGAGGGACAACTTAGAGTGTTCCATCAGATTGCCATGCATGTTTTTGGAATGTGGGAGGAAACCGGAGTACCCGGAGAAAACCCACGCAGGCCCGGAGAGAACATGCAAACTCCACACAGGGAGGCCGGAGCTGGAATCGAACACGTTACCTCTGCACTGTGAGGTCGACGCGCTAACAACTGGACCACCGCGCCACCCTTAGTCCGATCGAATGATTTTATTTTTTTTTTAAATTTCCTGAATTTTAGTGATAATAGTACGTGGAAATGATTTTCAAAGGCTGAAAGTGTCTTATAGACCCTTAGTCCGATCTAATGATGATTATTGTTTTTTTTAATTTCCTGAATTTTAGTGATAATAGTACCTGGAAATGATTTTCAAAGGCTGAAAGTGTCTTATAGTTTTGGCAACCTATGTTTTCATGCGGACATACTTTTTGACTGAGCGTTTTATGAGGGGAAAATTGAGCGAGCGAGCGTTAATGAAAATTCAACATTTAGCTTAATAGTTTCTGCTATTTGGTGGTATTACATGTATTGCTATGTATTGGTGCACTCAGTTTACTCTGTCATGAATACATCACCAATTTTGACATCTTAAATAGCTCTTCTTGCATCTTGGTGCCTGCAGCTGTGTCGCTATTGGAGGCCATGTTGATGCTGGATCCGGACACAAGGCTGACAGCCACACAAGGACTCTCGCACCCCTTCTTAGCAGAATACCATGACCCGGAGAGCGAGCCCGACTCGCAGCCTTATGACGACTCCTTTGAGAGTCTAGAGCTCGCCATTGGGGAGTGGAAGAGTAAGTCTGACTTTTTTTAAATTTTTTTTTAAACGCTACCTGAGACTTGTTCAGTACTGAGACATATCTGTTTTGTTTATGGTTTTCTCTTCATCCTCTCAGGTCTCATCCATATGGAGATCATGACTTTTGACCCAGATGACCCCAGTCGGACAGCCATTTAGGGAGATGCATCGGTACCAAATTTGCATTTAATATTGAATCGCCCCTTAAACATTCTTGTCATCAGATAAAAGCTAAATGTAAATGAGACAGCCATTTAGGGAGATGCATCGGTACCAGATTTGCATTTAATATTGAATCGCCCCTTAAACACATTCTTGTCATCAGATAAAAGCTAAATGTAAATGATTTGGAACTAACTATGCACATGTGAATGTTATTCTCTCCTAGATGTAAGCACATTCTAGACACAATAAGCCACTAGAAGGTTGGAGGAGTTGACACCCTCCAAAAAAAATTCTCCTTTCGCTTGGAAGTTGTAGTGCATCGCGTTTGCAAATGATGTATTCTGCCATACCTTAATATGCATTATATATTATAAGGCAATGATTCTCTTGTCAGTTCCTGCGATACTTTGCAATGTAACTTTGTAATGTATTTTTTTATGTGTTGGTCTAGCGCTGCGGCATTTGTCAAAGAAGAACATGATATTGCTTTTGCTGTTAAAAAAAAACAGATTCAAACAAACATGAGCTTGTCAGTATTTAGAAATGTATACCACCAGCATATAAACTGTCATGTCAAGACATCATAATGCAGAGTTTATCCGTGATATGATAATGATCAAAATGTGCTGTTTTCCTCACAAAATACTCCGTTTTATAACATGTTGATTCGATGACACGCCGAGGCAGATGCTGTATAACGTGTTGTTGTCAACGAGTTCCCGTTTCTCAGGAGCCATCGGACTTGAAAACAGATTCAAACAAACGTGAGCTTGACAGTATTTAGAAATGTATCTTTTAATGTTGAATGAAACTCAGCCATTGTTCTGATCCTTACTGAACTGGGACCAAATGATGTAATTAGTCTTTTTTTCTGTTTTGATCAAAGACAATGCCTTGAGTACACCGCCAGCATATAAACTGTCATGTCAAGACATCATAATGCAGAGTTTATCCGTATATCTGAAAAGGCCATGATTCATGCAGTTGTCATGTGAGAATCGATGCATTAATTATTGGTTATTTAGTTATCGGCTTTTTAACTGTATTTTCTGTACTGCTTATCCTTTACATGGTCACCGAGGTTTTGATTTGTACGATGAGAAATTTGATTCTAAGGCCATTTGATGAACGATATTTTTCGTAGCGCAAACCCAGATCGGGCACATAGGAAGTCGAGGTCGTCAGATGGAGTTTTATTTTTGACCACTAGAGAGTAGCATTAGATCAATTTGTGAAACAATGTGCTGTAACTAAATGAGTGTCATGCATTATGTTTTTGACAAATGGATTTATATTGGGTTGTGCCAACCCAAATGTATTTACAGTATAATATTCTGAATCAAGAGCTAATAATTAAAAAATTGCATGCATGCAAGCAGACAAAATACAAGATAATGGAAATCACTTCTCTGCAATGTACTTCAGGCTAAGGTTTTCTTATCTTATCTTATTACGACAACCACAATAAACATACTGTTCGTGTCTATCAACAACCCCCGGCCCCCGTTTTTTTTCTCCGTTTTTATCGTATAATTGGGGTAGTCTCACTGTACGCAAAAATCCAAGGACATAGGCGTGCTTGATGCAGAAAACTGATGCAAAACATGTCTTGTAATATGATTCTGGAGACTTATCACAGAGTCCGTATATCTGAAAAGGCCATGATTTATGCAGTTGTCATGTGAGAATCTATGCATTAATTATTGGTTATTTAGTGATCGGCTTTTTAACTGTATTTTCTGTACTGCTTATCCTTTCCATGGTCACCGAGGTTTTGATTTGTACTATGAGAAATTTGATTCTAAGGCCATTTGATGAACGCTATTTTTCGTAGCGCAAACCCAGATCGGGCACATGGGAAGTCGAGGTCGTCAGATGGAGTTGTATTTTTGACCACTAGAGAGTAGCATTAGATCAATTTGTGAAACAATGTGCTGTAACTCAATGAGTGTCATGCATTATGTTTTTGACAAATGGATTTATATTGTGTTGTGCCAACCCAAATGTATTTACAGTATAATATTCTGAATCAAGAGCTAATAATTAAAAAATTGCATGCATGCAAGCAGACAAAATACAAGATAATGGAAATCACTTCTCTGCAATGTACTTCAGGCTATTACGACAACCACAATAAACATACTGTTCGTGTCTATCAACAACCCCCGGCCCCCGTTTTTTTTCTCCGTTTTTATCGTATAATTGGGGTAGTCTCACTGTACGCAAAAATCCAAGGACATAGGCGTGCTTGATGCAGAAAACTGATGCAAAACATGTCTTGTAATATGATTCTGGAGACTTATCACAGAGTCCGGTGTGTTACAGCTATTGGGAATGTAAGCTTATGTTATATTATTAATTGTCATTTTATGTTTGAGCATCATATTATTTCATGTAAAGATTACCTAAGTTGCATTCTGTTATTTAATAATTGCTTTGACATGGTTTTATGTTGATAGCTTCTGATTGGCTGTTGAAGGGAAAGCAGGAAGTGATTTTAGTTGCCAAGTGTGGTTTGGGTTTGGGGGTTTTTCGATCGTGCTGCGGTTTTCTTTTCAATAAAGCTTCGTTCACACTGAAGGTTTGTTTAGTGTTTTTTTTCCTTACTTTTGTAGAACCCAAATAGTACATTTCTCCAGTATAGCATAAAGTCAGAGTCAATATGTTCAATAATAAATCTAGATACAACTTTACAAAATGTGTTGGTATACTGGCATTGCCAGAACAAGAAAGATTACCTAAGTTGCATTCTGTTATTTAATAATTGCTTTGACATGGTTTTATGTTGATAGCTTCTGATTGGCTGTTGAAGGGAAACAGGAAGTGATTTGAGTTGTGAAATAGTGTGTTCTCGATCGTGCTGCGGTGCAGCCGTCCTTTTTTTCTCCTTTCAATAAAGCTGCGTTCAAACGGAATCCATCTCTCCTTTTGCCGTTCGAAAAGTAGAGCCATCCATTAAAAACAAAGAACTCCTCAACGTACACGATCTAGTTTAAATTGAAGTCATAGTCAGTGTCACACGAGTATTTTTCTTTCATTCAACTCTGATTTGGGTTTACCATCTTACATTGATACTGTTTTGATTGAGCGTCATTGTCCTTACATGTTTTTCTGGTGCGAATGTAAATTCTTCACAACTATACTACTATGCGTGTAAGCAGTTTTTTTTTAGCAGAAAGTGACTTTAGTTGTTTTTTTGTGTGTCTCCCTCGCCATCTTTCTTTCTGCATCTCTCTCTTTTTTTTTTTTGAAGTCTTCAATTTTTATTCCGTCCATTTCAGTCCTCTATGGTGATTTTGATTTGCAGAATCACTCGAATGGGATTTATTGTCATTGCACATGTACGAGTACAGAGCAACGAAATTCAGTTACAACCCGTCCAAGAGACATAAAAACAATGACCAACAGAGGGAGACAAAACGGAGAAGCCTGGCGTATCGACAAATATTTCCCGATTTTCTTAGAGGAAAAACAAAAACATAAGGAAGGGGATTGTGTTGGGGGGGACAACTTTGCGACAGATACAAAAATGGGAAACATAAGTACTTGTCCGTCCAGGTGGAAAGAGAGAGTGTATTTTAGAGTGTCCAATCAGGCTGTCATGTATGTTTTTGGAATGTGGGAGGAAACCAGAGTACTGTATCCAGAACCGGGATCGGACCCGTGGCCCCTGCACTGTAAGGTCGATGAGCTAAACCACTGGACCACTGGGCCGCCCCGTTTTAGTTATCTATCTGGAAATTCAAGTGTCCATATACTGCTTTGGGTTTGGTCATATTTACAGGGTATTTGGGGATTATATTTTATTGATTGCCAGACTTTAAATTGGCAAGTTTTCAATCTTCTGCTAGTCTATGTTTTTAAATTTCAAAATACTGCAATTATATGAAAACATCCTCCTGTAACATGGAACACTGAATTCAGTGAATGTTATCTAAAATTACACAAGGAACATTGTAAATTAGATGAACTCAGCTTTATTCCAGGCTTAGTGGAGAACAACTTGGTTGTCCCAATCAGACTCATTTTTTTTTTCTTTCAGGCTCAAGAGGAAGTGATGCTCATGTGTCTGCCAGCTTACTCTTGCCGGCAGATTAGATGCCAGAAATCACGTGAAAGTGTTGTATGGTGTGTGGTCGTTCCATGCATGCATGCTCATCGATGAAGGATTGCAGAAGAGGAGCATGTCATAGATTTCTTTGTTGGAAATATGAGATGACTGGACCTCCTCCTGTGCCTGACATGTTAACGTGCACTGATTTGTTACATCGCAGGGATTCTCTGTCATGCAACTACAAGCGTGTGCTTGTCTACAGGACAGCATGTCTAGCAAGTAAACGACAGCCACGAGCACAAGAAAGGACTGACTCATATGTATGCTCTGCTTTTTATTGGTGCTTTGATTATTGGCTCTGCCTCTGCTTGGATTTTGATGGAACCTCTGACTCTCTGAGTGTGTACGCTGCTCAAACCAAAGAAATACGGAAGTATGGATGACAATAAATGTGTTGATATGTGGAAGATATGGACGTTTTTTCCCCCCTTTTTTTTTATGAGGACAGTAAGAGACAAAATGGACTCAGGTGGGCCGCAATCAACGGCGAGAGCTCATGCTGGATCTTGTGATCGACATGCTGCTGCTGCTGAGGCCGCCGCTGCCGCCGATTCCGCCGCCGCTGCTGCTAATGCGGGTCATGCTGCCGTAGCCTCCACTTACGCCAACGCCTCCACCCACTCCTCCACCTCCGCCCATACCCATACCCATACCGATGACTCCACCCATTCCCATTCCCATTCCCATTCCGCCTCCTGAACCAGCACCTGTTAATGGACAAATGAGTCAGAAAGAATGCAAATATGGCAGTACACACAAGGAAATCTGTATGATTCTTTCTTTTAAAATCGCAACTGGCCTTCCAACATCAGCTTATGAACCACAAAAGAAATAATTTTATTCTGGAAATACGACTAATTTTCCTAATATTTTTTAATATTGTAATTGTATCAATGCTGCGCATGAATAAATGAAACATAAATCTGAACCAGGAAATACCTGAAACGACTGGATATGG